GGTGATGAGAAGCTTTCGTCAATATGCGTCAGGGCAATATCTCGTAGCCGAGCCGGTTGAGTTCGCCTGCTTGGGTTGAGGTCCACCTCACGTTACACTCGGAGACCCGGGGCACCAACCTGCGCTTTGCCGGACATGGGAACAAGGCCTCTAGGGACCGTTGTCATCCACCCCGGAACGTGCCCTTCTCTCGGGACTAGGAAATGACGAAGCTTAGGGTTAACTTTGTAAGCGCCAGTTGACGAGGGTATCCGGGCGGAGGTTGCAGCACTAACGGCGGCAAAAACAAAGTCGTGCTGTGGGCAAAGCGCAGGTACAATTCCCTCACTTACACCGTCACGGCCGTGTACGGGGATGCAAGCTTCACCCTCTGACGGGAACGTAGGGCACAAACGAAAAGGGGATTGACGACTACCGCAAAACACGTCCGACTCGTACAACAGCAACAAATCGACTCATCCTGTTGTTGCGGATGGGTGGCGGACGTACGGAGGAAGGCAATCTCATGGCCAGCAACTTGACTTCGGTCCTGACAGTGGAGGTGGCCCTCTCTCTCTCTCTCTCTGCCGTTGCCCACTGTGGTGGTCCGGCACGGCACTCACAGACGCTGACGCTGTGGCATCGGAGAGCATCCCGCGTGCGCCCTGTGGTCAGCTGGGATCAGGGTACAGATGGTGGATTTGCCCTGGGAATGCCTTTTAAGGGTCTCCACGGGCGCCGCTGGGATGCAGCCATTATTGACGGTCACGTTTGCCCAAGGGAGAAAATTCGGTGTCGATCATGAGGTCATTGTCGATGGGAGGGGATGAAATTGCTGGAGGGGAGAAAACTCTTCGATGGACCCTTCCATGGCGTGGGTCTTGCGGGGGCACACAGGGGGCCGGGCAGCAGCGTGTTGTGCGGTGTTTGGGGGCACAAAAGTGAGATGGCAGATTGGTCCCTGACTCCGATGCCATGATCAAGGTTGGAACGAACAAGGTTTGCACTGGGCTTGGGTATTGAGGAAGGGCGGGAAGAGAGGGGAATCAATTTGGGGGGCAGAAAGCGACGATGATCATTTCTCGACGAGGTAGGTTTCTCGATGGGTGGAAATCATTCAATGAAACCCTTGATCGCGGCCCCCCTGAGAAAATCATTGGAATTATATATATTTATAGAGGGCTGAGCCACGATGGAGGCAACTTGGGGAAGTATTGGAGGGGAGGCACTGACGTTATTCGCGTACGATTCTTGCAGATATCAGACATGGGGAGAGGAAAGATTGGCGTCTCTGGATACATGAAGCAGAAGGCAGGAAAAGGGGGTTGGTTACAGGATATGCTTGGTGGGTGGGAAGAGAGAGGCGTGAATAGCAACTAACACGCCCCCCGGTGCCCCGAGACGCATGTCCGACGTCGAGGATTCAGCACTCCTCAGAGACAACGTCGGCAGTAGGCAAGGAGGGCCGTGAAGCCCGGTTCTCCTAGCCTCCGGTCGGTCGACCACGGGACTTTGCCACGCGTTGATCTCTCGTGTTCGGCCGGAATACCGGGGGGGGCCACTCTCTCACCACGAAGCAACCGCCGGGAGAGGGTCCCTTTTTTGACGATAATGGATACACGGAGGTGCTTATTGGGCGGGGCGGGGGGTTGTTGTTTGTTGCTTTGTCGATGAAGCTTCATTCGGGGGCCGGGCTTGCGGCGGCGGCGGTCCCTCTTCGACTGGCATTGCTGGGTGGTATTTTCCTTTCTGTTCCCTCATTCCTTCTTCACCTCCTCCTCCTCTTGCCCACCGCATGCGATGCAACCCTTCAGGTGAACCTGTCAGTTGGAATGCATGGACTCTGGAGTGGGAAAAAAACGGTTCAGAATGCAGATCTTCCAAGATTCCCATGGCGCCAGAGACCCTGAAGTTGGCAGTTGGAGGGGGGAATTATGCTCGTTTGAGGAGGTACATGGAGAGCCCGGATGAAGCTATACGAACTTGACAAGTCCAAAAAGCAAGGTCAGCTTTCAAGTCGGAGCCCCGGGTTGGTGGGTGAGTGGTGGTTCGGTGAGTCGAGTGCCGAATGCAGGTACGGAGGACGGGGGGCCACGGTTGTTGTCCTGCGGCGGCGCTACGGAGACCCTGCTGCGTACGGATTCCACCACTTTGACAAGAGTGGAACATTGTTGCATTCCCTTCTGAGGCTCGAGCAACATTCTGATATTGGGCTTTTTGAATGGGGGGAGGGGGGTCCGCCCGGGAATGGTGATACTTTCGGGGCCCGGGGGGGTTGGTGGTTTGAGTCGGGCCTTGGAGGCGGCGAAAAACTTTGAAGGCATTCACGAGCATTTGGAATATTTCTCTCTATCGCGACGACGATCAGATGCACAAAGGGTAGCATGTAAGACGGGGAATGAACGGTGGCTGTCCCCCGGCCTTACACTGCTCCCCTTCTCCTCTTCTCGAAGCCCTTGACCGAGATTCCATGCCCATGATGATGCTCGAGTCGAGGAGATTTTTCGGTGGATATTGGACTCGATGAGGAGTCTGATACCGAGATACCGGTGGTACATACGATTTTGAGGTATCCTTTCATTCTACCAGACCCCCATTCCCATTCTCATTTTCACCCCCCTTCCCATACCCACACCTACAGTCCTACTTACCGAGATATGAGGTTGGTGATATTAAAGAGAGAGAGAGAAAGAGATGAATCGACGATCCCAAGAGCGGACGTTGGAACCCCCCACCCCGTATCCCCTTCCCTCGCTCCTGGTTCTACCGCAGTACTGCTGCTCCCATGTCGCCGCCGCCTCCTCCTCCTCCTTCCCTTTCCAGGCTCCGGGCTCACCCCCCATGGAATTGCCTCGGACCATGAACCCACGGACGAGGGCCTTTGCCTGCGAGGAAGAATAATCCCTGGCAGGACCCTGAGATGGCCTGAGATGGCCTGAGATGGCCTGAGATGAGGGTTTCCTGAAGATCTGCAGCAACAGTAGCAGTGGGAAAGTACGGAGTAGTAGTAGCCGCAGCAGCAACAGTAACGACGGACAACGGCGGCGAGCGGGCGGGCGGGTGGGCGGGTGAGATAGAGGCGAGGGTAATATCAAAGTGTTCAATATTGGAAGTTGAGTTTGGGGGGTTTTCCGGTGAACCGTCGGGGGATCATGGATGAAGTGTCAGGGAGGCTCAGGGGACGCGGGAATGAGGCAGTCAGGGTGAAGTTGATTCACAGCCTCCCTGGGATGCAGAATTGGCTGAGGAGAGATGGGAGGAGAGGGGGGGCGTAGATTGGGCAGGTAGGTGTAAGTGAAAGTTTCTTTCGGTCTCGTGATGGCTTCATGAGATGAGAGGCAGTCACGGGATACGAGGTGGGCGTACGCAGTACTGCGTAAGGTATGTACGCTTGGGTGCTGCGGGCTTGTGGGCATTGCGGCTCTGCTACGGCGCGTCGTCTGCAGGGTGGGATCTGGGACCTCGTGACTGGTTGAGTTTCCTCCTTTGAGCTCTGAGAGCTTGTAGAAAAACATATCTGCGTATGTGGCGCTTTCTTTGGTTGACCTACCTTACCCTAGACCTAGTTGCTCGAAGTTGACGTTGACCCGAGGCTGGCTTTTGCAGGAGTCGTATCGGGAGTGTAAGTCAGGTTCCTGATTTACTCCTCGTTGCTGTGGCTGGTCTGAGGACAGTGCGGATGAGGGAAAGACTAGAGGGACGAAGGTATGTGTAACCTTATTGAGTGTTATGCCTGTGATTCCTGAGATTGAGGCAAGAGCCTTTTGATGTCTTCAGCTGGTGCTGGATGAGGTCTTTGTCCTCAAGTTTGATCCGGATCGGCAGCCTTAAAAGGTATGATGATTGCTTCACTGTCATTAAATTTCATTGCGATGGTTGGGGTCTCCAGCTTTACACGAGCCATGATGCGTGTAGAACCGCGTCCATGAGATCGTTTCGCGGGTGCGAGATGCTGATCTATCTGAGGCATCTTGCAGTGTTTGATCTGTGGTTATAGACGAATGTCACGACTTCACTTGAGATGGTGCTTTACGTGTAAATGGCCAATCGTCGCCTTGCTGTGATTGATCACACTGCGAATAGGGTAGAATGCAGACGCCGCCGCAGCCTCTCATTCCTCCCATGTGCTCGAACTTTGTTTCCTCCTCCTAGCGGTAGTTTCCCCCTCCTCCCTCTCACCACCGAAGCAGGCGTGTTTGAAGGGGTAAAGGCTCGAGTCAAGGAGATGCAGAGCGCGCGATAGAAGGTGAGAGCTTGTGATGGCGGCTGGATTAGACATGTGCGCGGATGATTGGTCGCAATCCGGCCCTGGCGTTGCAAGGCTGCTTTTCCTCCACTGTCTGCGGCGGTCCGGACGCGGCTTTGGAGGTGGCTAACACGTACCCATGGGCCTGACTTGGTCAAGTGATGGCAACAATGGTGATGACTGCGTTGTCTTATTGGGGCTTTGGAATGCCTGGTCTAATTCTTTTTGTGTGTTTTTCTGATGTCAAACAAGACATTATCGAGAGCTCTCCGTTGTTCTCGAGCGGTTGCTCAAAGTCAGAGGTGCAAGGCCCCTTCGTTTCTGGTGAACCTTAGGTAAGGTAAGGTAGCATCTGAGCGGAGAGATGTCTTATCGCAGCTCTTATCTGACTCCAAAGTATGTTTCTGACAGTTGTTCTGGAAGGAGAAAGGACGGTCGGTGCGTTATCAGGGACTTTTAGGCAGTGCGACTGCTTATCGGAGACAGCCAGGATAGGTGTGATTTAGCGGTCTTGTGACCCATCACGTCATGATTGGCACTGTATCATCAAGTACCTACTGATCAAATACTGTCACCCAAAGACACACGCTCGACTTAGCTACCGCTATTGGCTGGTTGGCGCTGTGCCTCGGTGCCATCCTCCCGCTCCCCTCGTCAGATTGCGCGGGTTTAGCGCTCTCTGTGCGGCGTCACCACTTGCCTTCCCGCTCCGATGCATGGAGTTCTGCTGCTGCTGCTGCTGCTGCTGCTGCTGCTGTTGCTGCTGTTGCTTTGATTACTGCTTGCTGATGCTGCTGGGTGATGGGTGCTGCTGTTCGTAGCCTTTTGGGTGCCGTGCATGACAATTTTACGTACCATTCTGGGGCATATGGTTTCGCCTTCGGTTCATCTCTCATTTCATCCTCTTCTTTATCCACCGCCATTTCCAAACTCTTTGTCTATTTACTTTTTTGTGTGCTGGGGGAGAAAGAAAGACAGGGAAAACATTACCCCAAATCGAACGAACCTTCTTCTCTACTCCCGTACCGCGATTTGGGTTGCGCCCTTTCTTTTTTCTGCGTGCTCGTCTTGCCGGTTCGCCATCCATCTCCGATACGGCAACGTCCGCAGTATTTCATATCCAGACTACCTCACCTCACCTCACCTCACCCGTTGTCGCCCTCCAACATTGGATATTCCCAATAGGCCAGACGAGGTAAAGGGTCCGATCTCCTTCTGCGGGATCTCATCACCACATCACATACGTATCTGTACGCTGCGGCGCGCCGCGCACGAGTCGGACGACTGAAACGAAACGGACACGCGCGCTCACGCCTTTGGAACCACCTCGCCTACGGAATACCTTAGCTGTCCAAACAAACGTACCCGCAACGACAGCCATCTCTCCTTCGACCCGGAGTCGAGCATCCAAAACCCAAACCTTACTCTGTCATCATCATCATCATCATCATCTCTAATCCACACCTCTGGATCTCTACCGCAACCGCCAAACCTCGTGGGACTGCTACCTTACGTCGTTACGTACTGTGTAGTGTGGGTGTGCTTGTCTGTCACTGTTCGGTTTCTCTTTTTTGGCCGTTCCCATCTCGGCTTCGCAACCCCGCCAGCCGTTCTCGGCACCCCACCTTATCGCAGCCAAAGGCCGCTATTTTTCGCCTGGGCGATTTCTTGGTTGAACAGTACCTTTCACCCAGTACCTTACCTTGCCTTACGCAGTACCAACCTAGTAGGAGAGAAGCCAGGCCGCCAAGCAGCGAATCAACCCAAAGGCGGAAAAAAGGGAAGCGTCGTCATCGGTTCCTCAAACTCTCTCTCACTACTCCGAAAACCCACCGACCGGCCGCGGGCTTGTTTGAACCTCTCGCCTTACCCTCCACAACCAAACCAACCAACGAGCCCCTTGTTCTACGGATCTCGAGACTGCAACCATGGCTGCTGCAGCTGCGCATGATACGCCTGAGGAGCCTCAGAGCGATGGCTCCAAGCTCAAGACCTTCATTGGTATCCTGAAGAAGTGAGTCTATCGCGTGGTAGATGACGTCGTTTGGCGGTTTGGGCTTGCATGCGCAGTGCCTTTGAAAGTCAGGAGGCGAGTTTCTCTGCTTCGCGGGCGGGGATGCGTTGGCTGATGGGCGACGATCTCTGGAGGGGTAAACCTGCGATCGTTACCTCATCAGACCTGCAAACCTCCAGAACCAGACGGACGAGAATGATGAAGGTAGTGAAATTCGCGCTGACTGGCCTGCTTCTTTTAGGTTTATTGGTGTCGCCGACCTTGCTGCCGTCCGCTTCTCTCTCCCGTCCCAACTCCTCGAGCCGACGCCGAACCTCGAATACTGGAACTACCTCGATGCGCCCAACGCCTTCGTTGCCATCGGTACTGCGGACGAACCCCTCGACCGCATGCTCGAGGTCTGCCGGTTCTGGTTCACAAAAGATCTGAAATACGTCAAGGGAAAGCCTTGCAAACCATACAACTCGTGTTTGGGAGAGTTCTTTAGGGTGAGTTGCCGCCGGTCCTTTCTCTGCGCACTATGCGCCTGTCATGATCTATGATGCTGATGGAGGATGTGATTAGTGTAATTGGGAAACCGAAGACAATGCCCCCAAGATCAACACGACAGCCCTCGGCAGCGCCGCGGGTAGCAGCTCGTCAAGCTTCAAGTCAGCCAAGGCAGACAAGAACGCCTCGGCCGTCTCCCTATCCGTCCCGCAACACGGCAACACGACACCCGATAGCAAGCCCCTCCGTATCTCATACCTGACCGAGCAGACCTCCCACCACCCGCCCGTAAGCGCATTCCACATCAGCTGTCCCGAGCGGGGCCTCTCTGCCCGCGGCTTCGACCAGATTACGGCAAAGTTCACGGGTACTAGTGTGCGCGTGTTGCCTGGCGAGCACAACCTCGGCATTTTCGTCACGCTCGAAAAGCGCGGCGGTGAGACGTATCGCCTCACTCATCCCGCGGCGCATCTCGGTGGCATCCTCAGGGGAAGCTTGAGCGTCAGCGTCAGTGAGATGGCGTACATTACGTGCCCGCAGACCAAGCTCAAGACGATCCTGCACTACATTGAGGCTGGGTGGCTCGGCCGCTCTACGAATCGCGTCGAGGGCATCATCTTCAAGTACGACCCCGAGAACGATGACAAGGTCAACATCAAGGACGTTCCGGAGGCCGACATTGTCGCCCGCCTGAGCGGTCCGTGGCGCGAGAAGATTGAGTTTACCCTCGGCCCCAAGCCAGTGGTGAGTAACCCCTCCCTGTCTTCCTTCATTTCCCTTCTGCCGCATGAATACTCACAAGAATATGGCAGAACTCTCACCCCGCCGAAGCCCGCTACACAATCATCGATCTCGCACCCCTCAATGTAGCGCCCAAGGTGCTGCCCCCGAAGGAGAAACAGCTCGAGAACGAGTCCCTGACGATGTGGGGTGGCGTCACCGAAGCCATCCACGCAAAGCAGTTCTCCAAGGCGACGCAGGTCAAGGTCGAGCTCGAGGAGCGGCAGCGAGAACTGGCGCGTGAGCGCGAGCGCACGGGCGAGGTCTTCAAGCCCGCCTTCTTCGAGCAGGTGACGGACACAGGTGGCAAGCCCGAGTTGACGGATAAGGGCAGAGAGGTGCTCGCGAGGGCGCAGAAGGGGGAGTGGGACATGAGCGATATCATTGTTGTAGACGCTCCGGCTCCGGCTGCGGCTCCGGCTGCGGCCCCCGCGGCTACGGAGAGCAAGTAAATGGTTCGATGTTGTTGGCGGGAGAACGAAATTAATTGGATTAGAAAGGCATACTGAGCGCCTGGGTGGCTGCATCGGGCCCGTTCCTTGTTTTCTGGAATTCTCTCTCCTTTTCCTCTTGTTTGCCGCATTATTTGGATCTGTTTGGCCCTACTGATCCTTTCCTGAGGGATGCATCGCTCGCTTTTTTAGCTTTTTGGAAGGTTTTTTCCTACATTGGTTGTTTACATGTTTTATGATCCCTCTCGCCTGAAGAATTCTCGCATCAACGATGAGGGGTTGGAAGTTTTTTTGCGTTGCATGGTGGGCGGATGAGGAGAGGAGAAGGAGGAGGAGGAGGAGGAGGAAGAGACTATTTTGCATTGTTCACTCGGGTGTGGAACATTGCGACACATACATATACATTCACACACACAGAGACACACACAGGCTTCTTTTTAAGAGGCGGCGTTGGGATTTTAGATGGTTTTTATGTTTTATTGGTCTAGTCTATTTATAGTAATACATCTCATCAACAGTTTATTTCGCTTGAGTGCACTTAAGGATTAAATGATTAACGTGGGGATACATATCATAGGAATATAGTAAGTACTAGGTATCAAATTGTGAGGAACCTGAGTTTGCTTGGCTTTTGTATTGATATGAACAGGAGGGGGGAAAGCTAGGTTTCTATGGAGCCTTGTGTTTGGTAATGAGATGGCACTTTAGGGTAAACTCTGTCCCAATACTTCTCTCGAAGAAGAGGGGAGGAAACCTTGTCAATGTGGTTTTGGGACGGCATTCGCTTTCGGATGGCGGAGCGGACGTGTTGGGTGCGGTGGTTACGTGCTGCCCGCCGAGTCTGGGCCCGGCTCCGTGCGGTTCGGCCCCGCTTTCGGGAGGGGGGAAATCGGGGGTTTGTGGACGTCCGGTTTTTTTCCTTGGGGGCTGGATCGGAGTTGGATGTAATCTTGTCGACACTCACGTACCTCCTCATGTAGTGCCGTTGTATCGCGAGGTTTCGAGATGTTATGAAATGGGTATGATGCTATGGCCTGAGAGGACAGACATTTTCGGTGAATATGATGCGCGGGGTGCAGGTGTCGTCTTTCATGGTTCGCTAAGCTCGTACTATATTACCCTGGTCGACGTTGACTTGCCGATTGTGCATGGAATGGGAAGGTTGAAGAGGCCGAGAAGGAATCATTTCATTCTACTCTGCGATGTTTGGTGAAGAGGATGATGTTTTGTATGTCATATACGATGAGACTGATCCCATCCACTCCTGGGTACCTAGAAATGACGCGTAGTCTACCCCGGGTTTGGTAACTAATTACACGAGATCTCAGAATTTGTCGTCTTTGAGCTGGATGATATAGATGTCTGGTTCGAGCAAGAGACCAACTCCTTTGCCAACACAAGGGCCCCGTCAGCCAATGTCTTGAAAGCTTCGGCGTCGAAATCCTTGCATTCGGAACGGCTACTATAAGACGGCGCATTGGCACTAACAATGTCTGATTGAAGACAACAGACAATGACCTAGGGGAGACGTCTTTGTCCGTTGATGAAGGATTACATTATCGACCTGATTCTTCAAAGCGGAGATTATCACTTTGTTTACAGGGTCACAATGACCAAGCTCACGGAACCAAGGTTGAAAGGGGCTTGAGGATGGAATAATACATAAAGTCAGGAGAGTCTTCAACAACTGATAGACTACACATCTCTACAAGATCAACCGCCTCTCGGAAGACAGCATCAATCAGCTATCCTTTCACGCCCCATTTCTTCGTACCATTTCTTATACGTCAGGACTGGCTCCCGGCCTCCTTGACTTTTGCATCAACAACTTCACCTTTGACTTAACCTCCAGAACTCGATTCCTTTACCACAATTTCACATTCACTCTTCCAGCCTGCCTTCACTCTCTATAGTCATCAGGCGGCAGGCAATTACACCCACGCTCCCTGTCCAGTCTAAGTTCTCTTCCTGCTTTCTCTCATCAACAGCTATCGACCCTAACTAACCTTCCCACCCAAACCATGGCTGATCAAACCCAGAAGAACCGGGCACCGGCCAAATCCAACGAATCAAGTGCTTCATCAAAAGGCGTCGTCCCCCTCGAACTCTTCCTCGAGATCGCAGACCGCTACGTCGAATCCGCCTACGCCCAAGCCGCAGCCGAGATCTCGACATGGTACGTCGAAGGCTGCCCAGACGCCATCGACTCAATCTACATCAGCAACAACCACGCCTACGACTACGTCTCCCAGAAGAAGCGCTGGCACCTCGTTAGCACCCTCGCCAACCTCGGCAGCAGACGCGTCTCTGACATCGTCGACAAGACATTCTGCAAGTTCTCTCGCCACCACCACGTGCCCCGTCACCACCGCACCCCAGAACACTTAACAGAATGGTATACAACGGGGCAGAAGAGCAACGGCATCGTCAACCCGCCCAAGCACGCCTGGGTCCTCCCCGACATCGACGTCTTCGTCCTCGACTTCAAGGCCGCGGACCGGCATAACAACGCGGACGGCGAGAACCCGGAACCCCTCGAGACCGCGATCCTCCAGCCTTCGCAGGAAGCCACGAGAGGCCCACTCAGCATGATCCGCAACGTCAGCAGTAGCTTGGGAAATCTGATGACCGCGAGCAGCAAGCAGATCCGCGCGCTCGCGGCCTTGCCGGAGTTGAGGCGCGTACAGGCGTGGTGCGCGATCCGGAGCCCCGTCCCGCCCGCCGATGAGCCGCTGCACAACCACGCGGCGGTAATGCCTGTCGATCCAGCCATCTTGCCTGAGCTTGCTGCGGAGCTGGCGCTGAGCGATTCGCGGCTTTTGTTGTTGTGGGAGCCGTTGTTTGATGCTGGTGTGAGAATTGTGATTCAGCCGAGGTATGCTTTGCGTGGGGAGATTGAGCTCGTTCGTACGGATGAGGGTTTGCGAATGAGGTTTCTTGAGGAGGAGTGTAGGTGCTATCGGATTGAACTGGAATAGAGGGTGGACGTTTTGATTGTGGCTGTCTGCGTAAGTTCTTTGGAGCTGGTGGAAGTGTGCCCTTGACTCCAGGCTGGGAACTCGATTCTTATATTTGATAGTATACGTGGTAGGTGGCAAGAATCAGGATGGAGGAGGCTAGACTCTTTGATGCCCCGATTTTTAAATCAAGTTGCTCGTAAAAGTCCCTGCTTTGAAGGTGCCTTGGTATCTTTCCAATTAATGCCTATCATCAAGCGGACCTAGAAGGATAAGTACACGAGGTAGCGTTATTTATACACTGCAGAATTGAAGAGTGTAAATGTGCCCATTCGTCGAACATGCCCCTAGGGTTACAACGCCAGATAGATCACGTAGGGCTAGACGGTGATTAGAGACCAGGTACTCTCTACATAACGATGTAATTGCACCCCATAGTCCTGTAGATGGAGTTCACGGAAATCTCGGTCACAGTCGGTTGGGTCTATATCGAATTAGCAAGGTATGCGTTAACGAGCCTGCTTTTCGATGCTCGAGGTCGTCAGGGTGTCTCAGATTATGCTTTCTACTATGCCTGTTCCCGCTCGAAGTTAAGATTTTCTGTACCATAAGAACCCCCGGAGATACAATATTTAGCCCAAACTAAGAGAAACCTGCCCAAGAAGGTTGTTGACGCCACGACCTCTACGCATACATTGCTATGTAGCAGAATGAAAGAAGCCTTCCTGTCTACCACCACTACAGCAGCTGACCTCGTCTCTCCCTCCATGATATCGCAACATTGACGCCTTCGGTACAAGCAGTACTGATCCTGGCTACACGATGTCGACTAGATCCTACGCTACATTGCTCTTCGCTTTCGTCATCTTCAATGACAACCTTGAAAGACCAAGACCAACCCGCAGCCTGAGTCACCCTTCACAAATGAATACTATGCGCTGGTCCACCAAGTTTCACAATGCCTTCGAGCGTATCAAATTCGGTATCAGAGGCACCAGTCTTCCCAGCGGCATTCTTCCGTACGAAATATGGCTCTCAGTCGTCGACGCCGTGCTTGACGACTTGGAATCGACAGTCGAGCCATTAACATGGGTATTGACCGGATATGAGTCCGAGAAGGTGACCGATGAGAATCGCTGTCTCATGCTTGATCAAAGCAACCCCCCCTGGTTTTACAGAATTGAGCACTTCTTGATTGACGACGCCAGAAACTGGGAAAAGGGCAAAATCAAGCAACGACAAGATGCCATGGAATCCCTGTACAACTTCACACTGGTCGACCGCAGAACTCGAGAGATTATAAACAGACGACTGCCACGATGCACCTTTCTTCATAGGAATTGGTTCGAGCGCGGTAGGCCACTGGAGAGGCCTTCGACCTCAATACGAATCGTCCCGAGCATCGATCTATTTCCTTACTTTGTCAGGCGTCCTGCTCCGCATTCTCACATGAAGCGTTACAGGGCTCTTTTCAGTCCTTGGGAATACCACGGCTGCGTGGAACCTTTCTCTCATGTTCAGACGATACTGCTTTCTGCGATTCTGCTCAGGCCCGGTTGGGCTGACAATCTCAAACACCACCTTCAGTATTTGCAGAAGATACCTAATTTAAAGAGCGTCGAGTTCAGAGCAAAACGACCGTACAGGGATGCGGATGAACCCATTTACTATACAGTAGAGGACAATCTCCTCGTTTTCCTGCCGGGGGACAAGAATTTGGACATGAACGAGATTATTTCGATGTGGAGGTCGCTCAAAAACAGAGGAGTGAGGTTTACCGTGAGCCATTGTAAGGCTTTGGTCGAGTTTACCTGAAAAATATGTTTAGACGTTTCCACGAGATCCGCTTCCCAAAATGCGAGCTGATGCCGTTGGAAAAGAAAAGCGTTGGATATGACAACAACAGAACTCAGGTATTTATTCATGTGAAGAAGACATAGCTAGAAAGGCGTGCAACTCGTGCTAACAGACAACGCAGTGTTTGTCTTTCCCTGAGTTTTGACACTCTGGGCGATAATTGGAGCTTACCATGGAGTGTTCGGAGCCAGATAAGCCAGCTTGGCTGGAATTCCACAGGGGTAGGCTGTACAGTAGTGAGGCGCAATTCCTAGGGATGTAAATGGTATTCGAAGCTGCCTTAGGAGTATGGCACTCGATATGTCTGGAGCGTGCCGTACGTAGTAGATGGACGGCTCGCCAAGGACCGCAGCCGACGGGTTTCGACAAAGTGAATCTCGACCAACGATATGTGGCCTACGTCAGACTCGTACATACGGATTACTCCGTACGAATAGGCAGAGAAAAGAAGACTCCGGTCCAGTGAAATGATCCGTAGATTAATAAACTCATTGATACGAGATCTGGGCGAAGCGACTCGACTCAGCCGCACTTGATGGGTACCGCCGCCTTGCAAAATCACCAGGGATGGCGGCCTGGTACCTGGACTCTCTTCTCGCTCTCGCGCGGCTGATTCA